AATCGAAAAGTTTGCAGGAACAAAGTTTTCTCCTCTTCCTCAACATGCAATCATGGAAAATACTCAAACTTTCGACTGGAATCTCAGATACTTCTCTAATACTTTTTGACCCGCCGACAAATAGTTCTTTAACCAACCCAACAACACACTGCAATCATATCAATTGCCATTATTGTACCTACACCGCTAATCATTGGTTTATTATATTTTAATTAGATCATTCATTATAGGCAAGAACGTGTCTGATTATTTTACTGGTACAAATTGGCGGGTGCATCCTCATTGGTTATACTGCAAGTGAGTGGAGATATTTTACCTCAAAGCAGTCATAAACTACAAAAGACTCAACTGCGTATCTTCTAAAATCTTATTTTTCACTTATTCTTTAATATAATGATGTGGTGTATTTTTTTATCTTTTGGTACAGGTATCACTACGAGGATGAACGATCGTTCAATAACTCGGAAGCGAAACTCCTCCATTTCTTGGAGAGAACCCGCCAACCAGGCTGGAGATGGAACGATATGAAACAACCATCCCAGCCGCCGGAATACTCAGCCACAAATTCCGGTAACGATACTCATCGCAAATCAAAACGTGAATATCCTTTTATTTTGATTCTATTATATGCTAATAATTCGAAACAATAATTAATGGATACTTTGATTCAAGCAGCCACGCCATATAAAGCGGACAAAGATTTATATTATTGCGACAGGGATCTTCTGTTAAGTCTAGTGTTCGACGCAAAGGTAACCGAATGGTTTGCGAACCCCAGCACTGCACGCGAGGAGAAAGGGTGAGTATTGATATGATCTTGTCTATGAGACAAAATAAAACAAGTGCTCTTGATGGAACATATACTTAGAAGTATATGTATACTAAATGAACCTTCACTGTTTCGGGAAGGTTAAAGTTAGGGTACTGTTTTTCTTGTGCGAAAAATTGTTAAATATAGAAAAAGATTAAAAAAGATTTAAACAAATGTTCTACGCCACTGTACCATTCAGTAGGTTCGGTGAGCCCATTTTTGTGTCCTCTATATTTTTACGTTTTCTGCACAGTTCTTCTCTCGTTTCTTTCTTTTTATATTCTTTCTTCTGTCAAAATTTTAACAGAAAAGTGCACCCATTTCCTTTTTTACTAATACTGACCACTTTGACGCCATGCAGACCTTTAGCTAGGCTGATGAATCTGCTGCCCAGGTAACGTCCATCATAAACGCACCTTACGTTTTTAGAAATTAACCAGTTGGCTACAGTGTTCTACTGCTTTTTTATGCGTACTCTAAACTTTTGTTCCCTAATTTGTTTATTCTTTAATTGATATAATTAATTAATGTTCATCAATTTGTTACCTTTGTTACCATTAAAGACACTCCTTCACAATATTTATTCAATATTCTTTTTCCTTAGATCTTTACGGTAATCTGTACTTTGCTTTTTTATTATTCCTTACAAAACAACTAATTAGCAAAAGGTATTGTCATCCGAAGGCGAAGGTCGTCTTTTAAAATCAGGAGCTTGAAGAGGAAAAACACTTTGCTGACCCAAAAGATTGGACTATTTTTCCTATTAATTCAAATTATATCATACAGTAGTTATAATACACTCTCATACTCATTTGCAATGCTTTATAACTTGTAACAACCAATTAACTATTCTATCTCTAAAAATATGAAAAAGAAGCGAAGCAAATGAGTAATGAAAGCTCAGTAAACAGCAGTATTCCCATAATGCAGTATTGCAGTATTATAGAAAATAAAGAAAAAGAATTTCAAATTCAAGGAAATGCTTTGTTATCTTTACATGTCTAATATCATCCTTCTTGTAGAAAAGAATTCCAACAACGTTTCGGCGTAACACTGGCTTTCATGGCTACTCACAGTGGTTTGACAAGATGGCAAGATTTTCTGCTGGACGAAGAAGGTACTATTCCGGTTGACCACTTCAGTAGGATGTATCCAAGAGCCATTGACGAAGTGTGGTACAAGCGTGCCGTAGAACAACACTACGTGCAACCAGAGAGCTTCGTCTTTTCCGTGCCAATAGACGAGAAAGGTGCAGACAACACTACCCTTGTCACTGCTAGTCGTGCCATTTTTATTGGTAAAATAACGTGTCAATTTATATAACTAATACAAAATCAGAAAAGTTAAAAATTTAATTCTATAATTAAAACATAAAAATTGAAAGGGATTTAAAAAATATGTAAAAGTTAAATAACATACCGAAAAATAGATTATACGAAAAGTATTTATTGTATCTTTAGAAACTCAAGAGGCAAAGGCGCCTGCGGCGGTCGTAGGTTTCCAGT